CTCCAATCAGCTGTTAAAAAATCATCGCTTTGTGATGATCGGTTCCCGAAATTCCCCCATGGGGAACATCGTTTTGCGATTGCTTTTGCGATCGCAAAATGTTCGTTGTGATGCGATTTCATCGTCAAACGGAGCGCCTGTCTTGTGTGTGTGTGTGTGTGTGCGCGCGCAAGATGGTGGGATTTTCAATAAGAATAGAAAAAATATCAGCTGAAACACATTTCTGTGCTTGGCATCATTGCTAGAATGGATGATTTATTCAAGGGGAAAACATTGTGCTAGTTTTTAACTTAAAGTGATGTTATTCAGTTTGGGTATATTTAAAATTGCACATTATGAAACAATTTTCTTTTATCTGGTTAGAGGATAGCAGGGGGAAAATGTGGGAAGGTGTGAGGATTTCTCAGAAATTCAAAGGAGGAATGTTATGCTCCAAAGTTTGGGACACCCCACTGTTGTATAAGAAGTGGCTAGAACACTCTATGGAGACACTCCGGTTGAAGGGTCAGCCATCCTTTTCAAAGTATTTACCGTATTTTTCCGTGTATAAGACGCCCCCCACTTTTCTAACCCAAAATTAAGAAATCTAAGCGGGGCTCAGCAAATGTAGGGGGGGAAGGGATCAAAGCACTGCAGGATCGCAAGTGTAGGGGAAAGCAGGGATCAAAGTGCTGCAGGATCGCTTTGATCCCTGCTTTCCCTTCCACTTGTTTTTGTTCTCTCGTCAGCTTACTTCTGTGTATAAGATGACCCTCAATTTTTAGTCTAAAGAATTTAGACAAAAGTATAGTCTTATACACGGGAAATACGGTAGTTTTTAAAAATCTTTCATTCTTTGTTAAAAAGTTGCTGTGGTTGTGTGTAATGACGTCGTTCTATGGCGCTGAACGATAAACAGGTTTTTTCTCTTTCTTGATCTCAAGATTCCTAGAACTGGAGAATCCGCGGATGAGCAAGACCTTAAGGACGGTGGCTTTCCTCTATCCGTTCCTCTTTGACAACATCCCACTGTTCTATAGGGTAAGTGAACTACAGGAGAGAGCTTCCGTAGTATGAGATGGTTACCTTTTTTCCCCTGTATTCAAACCATAGAAATGTTAAAGAGGAGGAGCGTCTTTTTAAAAAAAGATGGCGATCATAACTCATCCCAACGAATCCTTGAGTTGTACACAAGGATTCAGACCCAGGCTTAGAAAAATTTACTCAAAGCAATGGGTCTGGATGGCCAGCTTTGTCGAGTTCTGGTTTCTTCTACATTTTTTTTAACCCACCATTTTTTCCAACACTGTATAAACTAATTAACTAAATTTCCCTGATATGAGAAAAAACAGCAACAAAAATCTAACACTACCCCTGCTATTTTATTTCAATATGTTTTAATTAAATACAGTTAAAAGGTTTCTCGCTGAGATATTTCAGATTTCATTTAAAATGGCAGAAACGTGGGACAGAAAGACCTTCAAAAATCATATATTCCAGTCCGCCCTGATGCAAGAAATCCACTACTAGGCATCTTTGATGGATGACCATCCAGTCTGTTTGAAAGCCTGCAACCTCCAAATTCCTGGAACTTTGTAAATGAACAAACACACAGTCAAATACAGTGGGGCCACGCATAGCGACATTAATCCGTTCCAGGATTAACGTTGCTATCCGGATTCGTCGCTATGCGGGGGGGAACCCCATAGGGAACCCCTATTGGGGAAAAACTCACCGCTATGCGGGGAATCCTCCATCTGGCCGCCATTTTCACCGCCTGGTAAGCAAGGGCAGGGCGCAAAAACGCTGCAGGCGGCCATTTTGTTGACCCGGTGGCCATTTTGGAACCACCAATCGGCTGTTCCTTAAACATTCCAATGCGAAGATCAGTAAGCGAAACACTTACCGATCATCGCAATGCGATATTTTGCCTATTAAAACATTGCAATGCGATCGCATTAGCGATCGCAAAAAACACATCGCTATGCGGATTCGTCGTTAAACGGTGCACTTGTTAAGCAAGGCACCACTGTACTCAAAAGTACTCAAATAAATCATCCAAACAGACCAAGAGCAAATGGTCATCAATGCACCCAGAATGCAAGTCATTTTTTGGCCAACGTGATGACATGGGAATAGAATCACTCCATAATTATGGAGGAGCAGAATTATACCGGTATGAATATGCTTTGAACAAAGTAGGTTCAGGAAATTCTACGAAAGATTTCTGTATAAACATGTTTAAAATAGAAGAGATGTGTAGAAAACGATGTCCTTCCAGACAATACTTGTAATAGGGCTTTTTAAAGCCGGTGAAAAGATTAAGGAATGGTTTACAACAGCCATGCCCTATTTTCCATGGCTAATCAGGGATGTAAACCCAGGTTTCTACCAACTACATCACACGGACTTTCATAGAAACGTACAGAGATAAATTTGAAATTAACCCCCTCCCTGCATTGGGTTGTGTAAAATGAAGACAACAGGTGGAACAGAACATTCAAGGATGTGTCAAAACGGAGCCGGGGGATAAGTGTTAAGCAACGCTCCTTGTTAGGAGGGCAAGCCTGCCGGTTGATTTTCCCTGCCTGCATGTCGGTGTTGGATTTTTATTTCCCAAACCGGCGTCTCTCCCCTTTTTTCATCCGTGAAATGTTGGAGGACAGGGAAACTGCCAGTCGGATCCTCGGCTGTGCTGTAGCGCCCCCCACCAGATAATGGCAGGAAAGTGTACTGCAGCTGCTCGTCCCAACCGGATCATGCTATTTGAGGAACCAATAGTAGCCCTCTTAGTTTTATGTAACTGCTGGAAGTCTGTTTGCTGGCCCGGTTCCTCGAACCCAGTGCATTGTTTGCTCCACAGATGGCTGAAACCCAGCCAAGCCCAGCCGTGTCTCCCCCTCCTTCTGCTTTGGAAATCCGGAAAGCCTGCCTGCCTTTTGCCAACGTCTGTTCTTTCCCTGAGATGGGGAATATTTGTGTCCTGAAACAAGTTTTGTTCAGTTTTTGCCTATGTTCCCCTTCTGATACAACGCATGGCCCTGACTCATTTCTGCTACTTATCTGCATGTTTTTGTGTAAACATTTATTAAACAGCTCACTGGACTGCAGAATTCTGCAAAGGGTACTTAGAGGTTATTTGATATACAGTGGTGCCTTGCTTGACGAGGATAATCCGTTCCAGCAAAATCGCTGTAGAACGAAATCGTCGTCAAGCGAAAGTAAAAATCCGATTGAAATGCATTGAAAACCGGTTCAGTGCGTTCCAATGGGTGAAATTCCTCGGCATCCAGCGAAGATCCTCCATAGGGCAGCCATTTTCCGGTGCCTGTAAAGCGAGGAATCTGTCCTAAAACACAGCGGGGAGCCATTTTGCACAGTGGGTGGCCATTTTGGAAACCTGCCGATCAGCTGTTTTGACCGTCGTTAAGCGAAAAATCAGTTCCTGAAGGAGGGAACCGATCATTGTGAAGCGATTTTTCCCTATTAAAACATCTTTTGCGACCACAAAAACGTCATCATTAAGCGATTTCCTTGTCTAACAATGTAATCGTCAAGCGGGGCACCATTGTATTGAAACAAAACCCTGTAGTGTATAAATTCCTCCCGTGGTTTCAAGAAAGGATTTTTTTTTGCCCCATTACAGACTAGAATTGTTCTTCCTGGTCCCTTGTACTGTACTGGCTGGCACAGGACATTTTCCTTCCTGAACAAGAAGCCTAAAAATTATTACCTTCCAAGGGCGTGGGCTCTTCAGGACTAGCACCCTGTAGCCATCGCTGCCTTGGAAGGAGAGTTTTAAAAAGTATGCCACTGGACTGGTGCCTGCCCGTGATGGAAGAGGAAGGTTAATGGCTCTATTACGACAGGGCTAGCTTGCAACAATACGTGGTTTGGATAATACAGTAGGGCTCCCGTGTCTGCAATGTTGGTGTCCACACTTTCACTTATCTGAAAATATTTAAAAGATTGAAGCAAAAGAAATTAGAAATACTGTATGTACTTCCATGATGTATTTACTAAAACCGGCCACTAGAGGGATCCAGAGACCATGTATTCTTGTTGTTGGAATATATATATAGCATGATCTTTGGCGCCCCTCTAGTGGCCAGTTCTGGTAATACAAGGTGAAAATACTTTTTTTCTGGATTTCTTTCTTTTACCATGTTATAGTATGGTGTTTTTTTAAAGCATCCACAGGAGAGTTGGAACCAGTCCTGCAATTAAGTTTAGAGAGATCAGGGAACTCTGAGGAGGGAGTGGCTGATGTGGACATAGTCGCTACACAAAAGTTCCCGGGGCCGCTATCCTCTTAAGTCCTGGATCCACTACATCATTGTTATCCTTTGTCTCCCACAACAACCTTCCTGTTGGATTTGGTAGACTAAAAGCACAGCATGCGTCCACAGTGTGATGGGTGGCAAAAAGGCCAACACTCTGCTGAGCGAAGTTGGAAGGGGCCTTTTAAAGGCCATCTAGTCCAACCCCCTGCTCAAGGCAGGAATCCAAATCAAAGATCTGCCAGGGGCTTGTCTCCGTTTCTCTTGAAGGCCTTCATACAGAAGTATGGTATCCAGAAGATGGAAAGAAGTACAGTAGGATCGTATGGATGGGGAATCAGCTCCTGACCCCCTCACAATACTGAAAAATCTGGATAGTTAACCCTGCATACAGTACTTATAAGTGCAATAACTGTGACTGTCTGACACCACCCCGGCTCTGCAAGGTAGAGGGTGTTGCTTCAAAATGCTGGGAGACCAGGTGAAATGGCAGTGAATTACTAATAGGTATTGTCTCTGATTTCCTTTAGTGACCAGTCCTGGTTAATTACATTTATGAACACATTTCTGGGCTTCTAAAATTTAATATTTTTAATATTTTCAGACTGTGGATAAGTGAAACCGCAGATACTGGATACTTTTTTTTTTGCTACCTCACATTGTGACTCTGGTTTGTGTGACTGGGAGGGCGATTGTCTCCCCAGCACTAGCCTAACTCATCATTTCTTCCAGCCTTTGATTTCAAAAAGAGCCCACCTCTCTGTTCTTTTGCCTCTTTTCATCTGTTGGTGGCAGCTGTTTTGTGTGCTGTTGATCTGTTTGGTTGGTTGCTACGCATGTGTGCAGTCAAGAAAACAGTGTACACACGTCTGCAGCTCCAAGTTAGTAAATACATGTTTACTTTCTCCTACAAATGTCTCAGGATCAGTTCATTGAGATTTTTTAAGTGCCAGTTAATGAAAAAGGATTGGACGCTGGGGGACATGTAGCTATTCTGCTCTATACTTCTCTTGTGTTGTAAAGAGGATTTTTCCCCCCCAAAAAATCTGTAACAGGTGGGTACTCTCTTGCTTCATCGGAGGTCTTCAAAACATGCTGGGCCGGCCATCGGTCAGGATTGTTTTAGCTGTAAATTTCCTGCATTCAGGCTGGTTTGGCTATATTACTCTTGGTAGCTGTTCGAACTCTGTGTTTCTACAATTCTAAAAGAAGTCTTCCTGCGTCGTTCAGATACCAATTCTTTCTTTTATCCCTCTCTCTTTCTCCTGCCCTTCAGACTCCCATTTCCGTCCTCGATGGTCCGCTCACATTTCTTCCTTTCCCTTTCAGCTGCTGCTCTGTTTTGGTGAAGACTGCTCCTGGAACGATTCCGTCACTGGTTACTTCTACCACCTTTTCTTCGCTGCTCTCACCGGTTTCCTCTTCACGTCTCACCTGCCAGAACGCCTAGCACCTGGCCGCTTTGATTTCATTGGTAAGTGAGAAGCGGTCCCATCCAGCAGTTCGCCAGGTACTTAGGTGGCTGCCTTGATATGGCCTCCCCCCCCCATAAAAACAAAGCAGAATGAAGGACGTTGCCTGATAGTCAAACAATATCAATCTGTTTTTTCCCATATTATGTGCAGTGACTCAGCCGTCCAGGATTCTTTTTCCAGCCCTGTCTAAGGGCTGGAAAATAATTACCTTATATTTCCATGTATAAGACTATACTTTTGTCTAAAATCTTTAGACTAAAAATTGAGGGTCGTCTTATACACGGAAGTAAGCTGAAAACAAAAACAAGTGGAGGGGAAAGCAGGGATCAAAGCGATCCTGCAGCGCTTTGATCCCTTTTCCCCTACATTTGCTAAGCCCCACTTAGATTTCTTAATTTTGGATTAGAAAAGTGGGGGCATCTTATACATGGAAAAATACAGTAGTAGTAATGCCAGTAGAGTATATATACAAAAAGTTCAAAGTTCAATCCTAAGGATTGAACTGTAGTTTTATTTATCCACAAAGGTAAAGGTTCCCCTTGACATTTAGTCCAGTCGTGTCCGACTCTAGGGCACGGTGCTCATCCCTGTCTCCAAGCCATAGAGCCAGCGTTTGTCCGTAGAGAGTTTCTGTTGTCACGTGGCCGGCGCAACTAGACACAGAACATTGTGACTTTCCCACCGAGGTGGTCCCTATTTACCGACTCGCATTTTTACATGCTTTTCAAACTGCTAGGTTGACAGGAGCTGGGACAACCAACAGGAGCTCCCTCCGTCATGTGGACTTGATCTTATGACAGCTGGTCTTCTGACCTTGCAGCCCAGAGGCTTCTGTGGTTTAACCCGCAGCACCACCACGTCCCTTTATCCACAAAGCCTCACATTAAAATACAAGTCTTTTCTCTCTTTTTTTTGGCCTGTAATACTAATAAGCTGTCATCCTTTACCTGAAAAGAAAGTTGTGGCTAGAAATGGGCACGAATTTCTAGTTCGGTGGTTCGTGCCAGTTCAGTGGCCAGCTCAACAGGTCTTCTGCAGTTCTCCGCTCTGCCTCCTCTGTTGGGCACCCGCTTGAAGGCAGTGCCTGGAGGAGGCAGGGCAGAATTATTTATTTATTTAATTTATTTATTTATTATATTTCTATCCCACCATTTTAGACAAAGTCTATTTTCGCACTGCCTTAGCTATTCTGCCCTGCCTCCTCCAGGAACAACCCCTGCGTGGGCACCTGCTGGAGGAGGCGGGGTCGGAACAGCAGAACACCCGCAGGGCCCATTGCCAAACCGACATGAACCAGCAGTTCCTGCCCGTCCATAACAAGGGAGGGAAGCCACATTTTCTTATAAAACGGCTTCTGAGGAATCTATTGTGTCTAGGAAACTTTGGGCTGGGCTGCTGTACGTTAGAAGCCACCGGATGGCTTCCTGCTGCAGTTCTGGTTAAATCTAAAGAAAAGATGGAAAGATTTGCTGCCCAGCCCAAAAGCCGACACGTCTGCAAGGCTTGTGAGGAATTCTGCCTCTCAGACCAGCGCTCACCAACCTCCCTCCTCTTCTTCCTCCCTTTCCCTGGCACCTCTGTCTCTCTCCTCTCCGCAGGGCACAGCCACCAGCTGTTCCACATCTGTGCAGTGGTGGGGACTCATTTCCAGCTGGAAGCCGTCTTCTGGGACTTGCACACCCGCCGGGCCTGGTTGAGCGCCCACGCGCCGGCGGCCACCTTCACCCACACGTTCGCCATCCTGGGGGCCGCCTTGCTGGGGAATCTCCTCCTCCTCGCCACGTTCACCGCCATCCTCTTCTGCTCGTCGGGGGCCGCCTTGATCTTGCAGAACAGCTTTCTGGAGGCTGAGCTGCCCAAGGAGAAGTAGCCCTCCGGGGGGGTGGGGGGGCCGTACCTGGAGTCCCAGAAGAGGAAAAAAAAGTCCCTTCTCCCTGGTTGACCTTTGAGGCCACTGGGTCGGCGTAGCCCTCTCCGACCTGCTGCAGATGGGGAGCCGAAGATGGGAGAAGTGCCATCAGATGGGCAGAGTAGCTGGCAAGGGTTTTGGGGGCTTCTTGGAGGGGGGGGAGTCACTTTTCCCATCTCTGCTCTTGACCTGCAATTCCCGCCGTGCTCAGCCAGCATGGGGACGATCGGAGTTGTAGTCCAACACATCTGGAGCATACAGGATCAGGCTGAAGTAGCATCTGCTCCGCTGTCACACCTTATACCTCTCAGTCCTGTGCGTCTCTAGAGCAACATGGCATGAGATGTCAGGAAGGGCCCTGTGTTTAACATTCAATATTTCTATTTGAGCTCTTCAGGCCCTCGATATGACCCCACGTCTAGCTGGGCATGATGCTTCTTCATCCACAGTGCAGAATGAAGAGATTTTTGCGGTCTCGGTTCCCCACCTCTGCCTTCCTACCTGTCCAGCGTTGGGGAAGAACGGGCGTTGGGGTAACCGGTGTGTCATTTGGGTCCCGGAGAAGCCGGGATAGCCTCTGTTTGGGGCCTTCAGCTTTCTTACCGGGCTAAATCCAGAAGCCCTCTTTTCCTGTCCTGGCTTCCCCTATTTCAGATAATTTATTTTCCTGAAACGAGGAGCGAGAGCAGAACTAAGAAAGTCCAGATGCTAAAGTTTTGGCCATTGAAACAAGTTTGCTTGAGAGGGCTTTTTTTTGTGTGTGAAACCTAGAAATGGTAGGAAACATAAGATGTTTTCTCAAAACACAGAGAGGGTTCTGAGCAGGTAGAAGTGATATATTTTTTTGAGGGAAGGAGGGCTGTTTTTTAGGTAGATCTTAAGAAAAGAACAATAGGAACAAATTAAGGACTGTGATGGCCATCTCCCGATTTGGCAAAACTTGTTCAGTGGATAATGAACAGAGCTTGAGAAGTTACTTGTTGAATTCATTCTCATCCACATCTAAAAAGCAACCCACTTTTGTTGCAGTGTTGGTTGATTAATGTGTGGCTCGTTGCCTTTTTTTTGTTCAATTAAAAACAGGATTAAGAAAATAATGACTTAGAACTTGGAGAAAATTGTTCAAAACTTCTAAAAAGACTTTAAAATGTATTTGAAAGGTAATATTTGAAAGTAACTAGGACTCTCCTCTAGACGGGGAAAGGTCTCTTACCTGTGATGCCCCTTTTGAAATGTCATTTCCGTTCTCACCTGTTGCCCCAGAAGGACTCTAGCAACAAATAGAATTCGCTTCCTTGCTTCCAAGCTCTGATCATTACAGCCAGCCTTGCCTATGAGTGTCATAGTTCGGGTGATGAAAATGGGTTGGGTTTTGGAGGCTTTTTGATAAGTTTTTTAAAAAGAAGGATTTAGTGCGGAAACCAAGTCTTATGGGGGTCCAAAATGAACACTCTGGATTTTTTTTCCTCCTCTCCCATGTGCCTGCGACCAAACTAAGATCAGGGAGCAAACCTCGGCAATGGATCCATGCTGATTTAAGCAGGAAAAATGTGAATGGATCCACTGGAAAAGTGCACCCGGGATGTTGAATCTTCTTTGGGTTAATTTGCTTCAGCTACCCACACAGGAGTTAGCAGAGACAGAGGAGGAAATTAGCCTTGTTTGCAGCTTGTTAATCTTTTGAATCTTCACCTCTGCACATTTGGTGGCTGGGTCCACTTGCTTGCCCTGTCCGTCCGTCCGTCCGTCCGTCCTTCCTTCCTTCCTTCCTTCCTTCCTTCCTTCCTTCCTTCAACTTACTGTGCTAGAACACACTGGTGACCAAATGGAAAGACAGACATGAGGTAGCTTCCAGTCAGCCTTGTTTCCAACTTGTTAAGATACCTCGGCTCTAACTATGCCTCCTGAAAATCTGGAGAGCCAGAGCACAGCTGCCTTAACAAGCTGGAAATAAGGCTAACTAAAATTTCCTCCTCTCTTTACCAATTCCTTGCTTGTTGTTTTTTCTCCTTGGTCACCGGCTGACCTAGGCAACAAGCCTTTAGAAAGGAAGGAAGGAAGGAAGGAAGGAAGGAAGGAAGGAAGGAAGGAACGAACGAACGAACGAACGAACGAATGAACGAACCCAGGTAACAGGTGTGGGGAGGAGACTGTTCCAAAGGCAGCCAGTTTCTCTGCTGTCCTGCCTCTCTCACTGCTGCTGTCGCTGGCAGGAATGGCTTCAAATACAACAGTTTCAAAACCCTCCACATTGGCACGAACTGATGTGAATGCATTTGATTCCAAAAAAAATAGAAGCCCCAGTGGTAAAAAGAAAAACTACGAATTTGGGGGTGGGAAAAACTCAAGGTCGATTTATATTGCTTTCTAGGTTGTGTAGTAATTAAAAAAATAATGTGAATCTGACCATTCCAATCCTGGACCATTTTCTGTATCATTTATCAATGCAATCACTCACTAACTTGAGTGACTGTGGGTGGACATTCTTTTATTATTATCACATCCATTGCAATTAGAATTTGTGGCTAGCAGTGGGGGAGTAGAGTTTCCATTCTTTGTAGCAAAGCCAACCTAGGATGTGATATTAAACACATCTTTGCACATAACATGCACATTAAAAAAATCTGCTAACATTAAAAAATGGAGGGTTATTTCTTTGGTCAATGGGTGGGTAGGTATGAATTTAATTATTTTTTTATGGCTAGAGAGTTCTTGCAGAAAAGAAGTAATTTAATTAATTAATGGAAAACATTATTGGAGGAGCGACCATACCGCAGCTCAGCATGTAATCTGACCTTCTGGATATAGTTAACTCAATGCTTGCAGCACATGTACCGTATATTTCACTCCATAAGACGCACCTTTCCATAAGACGCACCAATTTTTTAGGAGAAGAAAACAGGAAAATATAATCTGTTTTCTTCGCTCCATAAGACGCACAGACTTTCCACCCCCCTGTTTTGTGGGGGAAAAGTGCGTCTTATGGTGCGAAAAATACGGTAGTTGTAATGTAACAGATTCTCTCTACACAGTAAGAAATTATTCCTATACTGTGAGCTAATGATGCAAATATGATTGCAACTACTGTATAATTTTTTTTAAAAAAAATCATGCCATGGTGATTTTCTCCCCCCTGTAACTTTAATATATTTAGATGCATCCATTTATTTTTCTTTTCTTGAAGATAAAAATAACATTTTGTTGCATCCTCATCTCACAAGAGGCTTGTGCAAAAGGCTTAGAGAACTTTTGTTGGTGAGGAATTGTTTTCATTTAAAAGGTAGAGGCTTTGTTTCACTGTGTCCTGTTTCACCTTCAACAGTTCAAACTGTGAGCAGGAAGGTCTCAAAAGACATCCCATAATCGTGGAACTGTAGAGCTGGAAGGACCTCCTCCCAGACTAACCTCTTCCCAGTGTAGGGAATTCGAACTAAAACATGCTTCACGGATGACAGCCTCACCTCCTCCTTCGCTCCTAGGGAAGCAGCTCTTACCATCAGAAAGCTCTTTCTAATGTTTAGTCATAATCTCTTTTCTTGCCATTCGAAACAATGCATGAAAGCAGCCAGTAAGCCTGCTTATGAGGCTTAGCCATCATCCACCAAGAACTGGTTTTCAGCCACTCAGGAAATAGCCGGTTGTGGTTTCATTCATTCGTTGAAATGGATGTTAGCAGATAAAGCCACCTGATTTGACGGAGCGTGTAGCTAAATATCTTGCTATTGTAATAAACTAGGTTTCAAGGAGCCTTGACATAAGGTGATCATATTTATCTTATTGCAGTGGGAAAGTATAATCTTGATTGTACGGTTACTGGTTTTAATTCCAGTAAAGGTTTTGGTTGGTTGGTTGGTTGGTTGGTTGGTTGGTTGGTTGGTTGGTTGGTTGGTTGGTTGATTGATTGATTGATTGATTGATTGATTGATTGATTGATTGATTGAAATGGATCCTGAGCCCCAAATGACACGTTGCGCTTGAACCGACACAGCCGAGAACTGCCCATTAAACATTTGAACTTAAAACTGGATGATCTTTGATGAATAGTCTGGAATATCCAATACCAGTGCCTTAATATTGCTTTTAGCACCTTTTCTGTTTAGAAAATAGTTTAAGAACTAGGATGTAAGCTTTCCTTTTTAAAAGCTGCCTTTTTTTTCTGGATGGGTCCCTCTACATCCCCTTCCCATTTATATTATTTATTGAAAAAGTCTGTCCCCATTGTCAGACATTGCTTCTTTTTTATAACAATTCTCACAGAAAATTATATTGCTGCTTTTGTGGGTCTGTTTGCACAATTCCCCACTTTATTTACATTAGCTCAAAGAAAAACACAGTGGCCTTCGAGTGGGGTGCAAAGTCTGTTCAGGGGGACTCTTTTGCCTTGGAACATTCTTAATATGTTCTTGTCATTGCTCCTCTAATATTATGCCCAAGGTGTCTTTGTCTGACAGTTGGTACTCTTTTCCTTGACAGGGCTACTGGGCCTGAGATGCATTACTCATAACAGGCATCAATTCAATTCGTAATGCAGCTTGACCCCATCGTATTGCTATACAGTAGGAACCCACGTATCTGTGGGATTGGTTTCTGTGGTCTGAAAATAGAGTAGACTTTGGTCTAGGTGGGCAGAGTATAAATTAAATAAATAAAATATTAAAAACATTAAAAGAAAAAAAGAAATATATATTTTCACGAGGTATTTACCAAAACTGGCCACTGGAGGGAGCCAGAGACCATACTATACGTATATTCTTGCTGGTCTTTAGCTCCCCTCTAGTGGCCAGTTCTGGTAATACAAGGTGAAAATACTTTTTTCTGGATATATTTCTTTTACCACGCTATGTGTAGTGTTCAATATTATTCATATTTTCAATATTTTCAGCCCCCGAAGGGGTCTTGGAACCCATCCCCCATGAATACAGGGGGTCCAAATAAGAAAACATCTGCAAAATTTCTCTCATGCATCCAGTCATGGCTACTGTGCCTTTGGAAATAAAAAATGGTAACCATTTCCTCAAGACAGTTTCCTACCATAGGTGCCTTTTACTGTGTCTCGAATGTGTTTTAAAATAGTATATCCATGTCTCTCCACTTGAATAACATTTAACAGCCCATACTTGCTGCTAAGAACACCCTGCACTTACCGGAAGCAAGAAATGCCAAAATTCCATGTTCATTCTCCCCTAAACAAAACCAACCACTTGCTTTTTATAAATAAGATATAATGTTCCGCTATCTTAATGGATTGATGCTGTTTGTTTGTCTGTTTTTTTAAAAAAATACCTGTATTTTAAATGAAAGAGCTTTAATGCAAATCTGTAAAAGAAGAACAATAAACGCCGAAACCAGTGTGCTGTTCTTTTTTCATATTTCCCGTTGGCGTTTTGTGCTTTTATTTATCTTTAAAGGATGAGAGGGTCGGTCCAAGAGGTTTTCTGAAGCTTTTTGATCATGCGAAATTCATCAATAATTGTTTTTACAGGGTTGGTGGAAAAATAGTAACAGGTTGTTATCTGCTGAGAGGTTCTTGTTTGCTTTCAGTGTTGAGAACTAAATGTTCCTAGTTACGAGTAGCAAGAAACAGCAGCTATGACCATCCACCAGCGCCTGATCCATGCCAGGGTAAATATCATTCTGTCTCACTTCAGGAATACAGTGGTGCCTCGCTTAGCGATGTTAATTCGTGCAGAACAAATCGCTGCTAAGCGATAACATCGCTAAGCAAAAATAAAAAGCCCATAGAAACGCATTAAAACACGATTAATGTGTTCCTATGGGCTTAAAACTCACCTTTAAGCGAAGATCCTCCATAACACCACCATTTTCGGTGCCTCTAAAGCGAGGAATCTGTGCCTGACAACAACGGGCGGCCATTTTGTTTACCCGGCGGCCATTTTGAAACCGCCAATAAGCTGGCGAAATTTCCCCATAGGACCATCGCAAAGCGATCGCTTTTGCAATCGCAAAAACAGTGTCGCTAAGCGATTTTGTCACTATACGGAGTGATCGCTATGCGAGGCACCACTGTAGTTTAACTCAAACCAGTCCCCTTTAGCGAATTCACTATGTAGGTTCACCCCTCCGACAGATGAAAATTATAACTAAACCAAGTTGGCGAGAGCCTTAAGTAGTCCAACTAACAAGAGCAGCTCTGGCTTCTTTAGCTCTTTCACTCTTTCTAAGATTCACTTACTCCTGCCTCTTACTCACGGCCCTTCTCTTTCTTAGTCCCACCCCCTTTGGGCTGAACCAATAGGTCCTAGGGTTGTACCACCAGCACACATCTGCTTCGCTACATCACCTTCATTTAAATCTCTACCCCTGTTTCCCACCCGAATGTCATCTTGGTATGGCTGTCGAGGTTGCCATGTTGCGCAGCGCCTGGGCCTTCGGGCCAGGTCAGGAATCTGTGAACTTTTAAAACACTGCTGAGCGGCTTCCTTTTAGTCTCATCAAATGCCCATCTCAAAGGCTGAAGAGAGGAGGAAGATACAGTTCGCACTTCATCAGAAGTGGAGTTCCCTGAAAAGCTGAAAGTTCTGTTTATTCTCGTGCGAGGTTTCTTCAGTTCTGTGTGTTGCCAATTAGCCTGCTTTGGTTTTGTGATCTGAAGGTGAACACAAGCTTCAGTTGGAGTGTGTGCCTGTGGCCTACAAGGGGCCTCAAAGCAGCCCCCAGGATTCCTGTCCCCTCAGTGTACCTACACCCTTAAAAAGGTGTTAAAAATTAAAAAAATAAAAATAAAATCAGGGAAAAACAAAAAACAAACAAAAAAAAAACAGGTGCCCTGTGAGGGATTCAATCATGTTTTGAGGGCTCCTTCATGCATCTGCTCCAAAATTCTTAATTGTCCTTTACAACAACAACAACAACAACAACAACAACAAAACAGGTGCCCTGTTGGGGATTCAATTATGTTTTGAGGGCTCCTTCACGCATCTGCTCCAAAATTCTTAATTTTCCTTTAAAAAAAAAATTACCACAGAGCGCAAGAAGTTTTTCTCCAGTTGTTAGGGAGAACCATGTGTAGGGTGCTGGCCCAATTTGCAGGGGGTTCTCCCCATGGCAACAACAACAACAACAACAAAACAGGTGCCCTGTTG